GAAAATGCTTTCTTGCAAACTATAGTAGGAACTTTTTTTTTTTAAAATCAGCATTTCTAAGAATACCTACAGGTTGTTGCTAAGTTCAAGCTTTTTACTCTTGGGAAGAAGGTAATAATTTGAATATTATTAATTCAAGGAGAAAGAGTAGTAAGGAAAGGAATTTGGTTGGTGAGAAGAAGTTTAACAGACGTTGTGTACAGAAGAAAAAGAAGACAGGGAATTGTAGGAGTGCAAATTACTAACAAGGTTGATCAACAGAGCTTAAAATACATATTTTCACAGAAAGAATTTAAACTTGCGACAAAGAAGATGGTTGGAACTCATCAAAGATTATGATTTGGATATTGAGTATTGTCCAGGAAAAGCCAATATCATGGCTGATGCTTTAAGTCGCAAGTCTACAAGAATGATGAACTGGATGATTATTCAAGAGGTTCAATTGATCAAGGAAATGACAAATCTAGAATTGGAGATTAAAGAATAAAAAAATGTGGAATATTTGCATCAGATGACAATAAAACCCACTTTAACAGATCGTATCAAAGAAACTCAAAAGTTCAGTCGGGAATCTTTCAAATTAATGGAGCAGGTCCAGTCAGGGAAAATATTCGATCTTTTTCTATTGATGTTGATAGAATCATTATGCACAAATTCCAGTTGTGGGTATCCAATGATATGAATTTAAGAAAGAAAATTTTGCAAGAAGCTCATCATTATGGTTATACAATTCATCCAGGCAGTACTAAGATGTATAAAGACTTGAAATTAATATTCTGGTGGCCATATATGAAGAGAGATGTTGCAGAATATGTAGTTAAGTGTGAAGCATGTTAAATTATGAAAGCTGAACAACAACGACCTAGTGGATTACTGCAATCATTACCTACCTTTGAGTGGAAGTGGGAAATGATTTCTATTCACGTTCTACATGTGCCATCAAATTTGCAACACATACATGCAAGCGAATAGAAAGTGTAAGACAACTGTTTAAAATTTCAAAATAAATCTTTACGTACATCTCATTGATAAAAGCTTTTGTGAACAATTAAATCTGGATATTTTCAAATCACATGTGCATAAAAAATGTAATTATCAATTTGAAGTACATAATCTTGAGAAGTGTGTTGTTGACTCATGAAGTGTGCAGCTTTCTTCAGAAGTGTACAAGCATCTTAAAAAGTGTGTTGTTATCTAGAGGCGTGCATCCATAAAAAAATGCGTACTTATCTCGAGGGTAATTTTCTTGAGAAGTATATAAGGTCATTGAGAATGCCACTCCCTCGAGAATTATGTAGTTGCCTTGAGAAGTGTGTAGCTATTTCGAGAAGTATACCACCATTTTAAAACAAGTAAAAACATCAATTAAACTATATTGAGAAAACTTATTAATACGTAGTCCAAATGTACAAAAAAATGTGCAAGACAGCTATTTCGAGAAGTATACAAAAAAATATGCAAGTACATTGGAAAAGCATATGAATATACTATGCAAATGCATCCATTGAAAAACGTACAAATGCATAGAGTGTACAACTCTATTGTGTAAATGCATTAAAATGTGTGCAAGTGTATCGTATAGGCATGTTAAACGCTTGTAAGTACATTGAATAGTGCATCTGTACTGTGCAAATGCATCGAAAAGCATGTAAGTGTAATAAAAACATGTAAGTACATTGATGAGTGTGTGAGTACACTATGCAACAACAATAATAAAAATAATAATATCAAGCCTTTATCCCACTATGGGGGGTCGACTATATGAATACGTTTTCTTCATTTTGCCTTGTTAAGAGTCAAATTCCCATTTAAATATAATAAAGAAAGATATAAACTAATTTTTCTAACAAATTCTATATAATATAGCTTACGTGTGTGTTATGAGAGTTGATTATTAGGGAGATTCTATTTGTGTTCGTAGGCAAGCTATAACATTTGGTACAAGTCCCTTATAAGCTATGTTTTAGTTCATATCTAGTTTTTGTTCATCGAGACATAAGTTTCATTCTAAGTATGATATTGTTCACATTGCAAGTTTGGCATTTATCATTTTCATTTTTAGTTACCTTTTTTGTTCGCAATTCATTTTTTTATTTTGTTCTTTGAGTCTCATATCAATGTTAATTTCGACAACCTCCTATCATGTCCTATGCATAGAGGGTATCTTTAAGAGTGACAGGTCTTCCCACCATAATTTAAAAAAGCATACATGTTTAGTATTGTCTGACACCATAATCAGGGGATTTTCTTTTCCACCTCGCTTAAAAAACATGCATAGATTTTTGCCACCTGCATGATTGAAAATATAGAATTTCCCCACCGGTTAGAATACCATGCATTTGTACTTATTTTATAAATTTTTTTGTCATATTGGAACAAAACTGTAGTGACTCAGGATCTAATAGAAGGATTAAATTCTTAAACCAAAATTTTAACTCGGAGCTGACTATAATGTTCAAGTTATCACACAAACATACTAAAAAGCGTGCACACTATGCAAATGCATCTAAAATCGTATAAGTTATCATACAAACATACTAAAAAGCGTACATGTCATCCAAAATATATGTTGACTTGGCATGACTAAACTACCCACATGTGCTCCAACTAATTATATGAAACTCTTAAATTTGTGATAGAGAATATTGCATGAGTTAAAAACAAGTCAAACTAAAAATTATCCCATTTAAAAAATGTGCAATCACCTTACTAAGTTTCCGCATGTGCTCCAACCAAATATATTAAACTCTTAAATTAGAAGTCCGAGAATACTACACGATTTAAAATAAAGAATGTGTTTGCACTTTATTTATCTTAACGCTTAATTTTCAAATAGTGCACTATAAATCATGTTCTTACAAATGAATATATAACTAAAAAATACACTAAGATATTTGATTTTATGTTCACATTATACCTTAAATGCTTTTCACGAAAGAAATCCATTACAAAAATGCAAACTTTTGAGTGCACTGATTATATGGTAAATCACATAATTAACACTCGAATCCGATCATCTCTTAGCAAGTGGGCGGTGTTGATAAGATTCAAATAATAAAATAAAATATTTAAAAGCCCTGTTGATGGCCATTTTGAAAGCGAATATCAACCGAAGGGGGCTACATCTTTAAAAAATGCCTTCATTGTCCAATGCATGTTATTTTGGGGCCACATTTATACAAAATATGAAAATCCAAAAAATTACAAAATTCAAAACAACGGGTGGAATATATCTCTTATATCATAAAAAAAAATTCATTCATCTTCAACAACTATTTGTTGAGGGTGACAAATTAAAGGACAACCTCAAGTATCTTATTGAGTGCAGTAATATGATTCATTCTGAAATGATCTCTTACTAGTTAGAATGTAGTGCATGTTCTCTAATTAGTAGTTTTGTGCTAGCTGATACTATACGTAAACGGTTATAATCAGGGATTTTTGACTGGATTGTTTCGTCACAAAATTACATCTTTAAGTTATAGTTACATCCACAGCCCGCAAATTCCTCAGTGGTTGAAAAATTCTCGAGTAATGAATTATATGATGCATTTGATATGGTACAAAATCCTCTATTAGCCAAGGTTGATTTAAAAAATTTCCCTTAGATAAATATCCACCCCTAGTCTATGAGGTTCCCTTGGACAAAATAATCCATAGCTGCCGATAAGGATCCTTCAGCATGTAAGGTCAACTACTTTGACTAAATAGACATAGGATATTGTGCCTATGAGAACTTTAAACCATATTACAAAGTCCTTGCAAAAATAAGGGAGAAATATCTTATCTACAATCTAATATGTTTTTTGAAAGTTTGGCAGAGGTGGGTCACGAATTTTAGGAGCCCAGAAGGCCGAAGGACTGCAATGGAATAGGAATAGTTTGAGCCGAGTCTAGGATTTCCACATTATGCTTTTCAATCAATGCCATTAACTGCTCATTGGCTGAACTGGAATCCAAGTACTGATTTTTTTCAAATGCTCTGGTAAATATAAACACAATGAAAAATGAATTCATGGAAAGAAAAGTAGTATAATCTTGAAAAATATCAAAAGAATATAAGTATCATGTAGATTTGCAGTGAAGTATAATGAGCTTGCACTTAGATAAGATCACTTGAGCAATGTAAAATCGAGCAAGTAAGGTGAACGGATTGATACATCATAGATTTTATGTTCATTGTTTGTCAAAATAGTTCTTATTCTGCTTTTGTCATACACATTATCTTGTAAAAAAATAATCGACATATAACCATACTCTTTCAGTGCCAACTTTTACTATTTTTGGACGCCTATGTTATACTAGAATTCTCTCTAGTACTTGCATGCATATATATTTTTGAACTCCCCTTTTTTGCTGCTCTTTAATTTTTTGTTGAAGCAATGTATTAATAATTTAAGTTTATGCGTATCTTTTAGTTTTAACTTCTAGTAGCGTATGACTTTTTGAAAAAAATATCTTCCGGCTGTGCTAACAACATGCACTTCGGCAATCTCGCCACCCCCACCACCAGCACTACCAAAAAGGAATATATAAAAAAAAAAGTTTGTGAGCTTCTTAACTTGGAATACTTTCTCTGTTGATCTGCAGGCAAATCATCTTGGCTTTGTATTTATTTTTCAAAAAAGAAAAATGATTTTTATGTTATTGGAGTTTGACAGTGTGCATGTTTTAGTAGTTTTCTGCATTCATATGTTATACTTTAATTGCTTATGATTTTTTCTGGTCCTCTATTGCGTTTGGATTAAGCACCTCTAGGCCACTACTGTTTTAATTTCCCCTTTCTCAGCTATAGCTTGCTATGCATTATTTATAAAGTCAATGGTTGTTGTCATCGGGTATGCCAAGGCCATTTTACTATATTAAATAAATTTTCAAAAAGCTCGTAGCTCTTGGATTGTTTTAGTTCTTATTAGATTGGTTTTAGCCAACTAGGGTTCTAGATATTGAATGATGAAATAATGCAGGCTTTTGTTCTTAAATCGTGAAGTTTTTCTTAGGCTCGTGAATTTGCAAATGAACTTCGTGCTAGTACGAAAGTTGGAAAAGCCCCTACAGTATGGTTTGAATCTTCTGCAGGGTCAGGCCAGACAGCAAATAGTGAGGAAACTGGTGTGCTTTCTGAAGCATATTCAAAAATGCTTACAGTTTTCATTCCCCTTCTTGTAGATGAGGTTTGCTTATGGTTCATGGCACCTTCCTTTAAGTGAATTGAGATTTTGACAAAATGATATAACTTAGCTGCTGAATTTTTTTTTCCAGAGTACGTTCTTTGCACACTTCATGTGCTTTGATGTTCCTAAATTGGCTAACAGTAGCAATAGCGGCTCTGATGGCAATGGAGAAACTGATGATGATCAAGAAGGCATAGCTTCAGGTGCGAATGATGCTAAAGACGATGATAACTTGTACTACTGTTAAATGCATATTGTTGAAAGACTGCTGCCAGTATTTATTGCCGAATACCATGCATGCCATAGCTTTCTACATCTCATGGTTTATTGCCTAAACTGAAATATAGATGGTGCATTTGTTTATCCAGGTAGCAGCACTACTGAGCTGAGTTTTTTAAATGAATCTCTCCAAGAATTACTTGATGGCATTCAGGTAATACTTCTGTATCTATAATCAACTAATTTGGTCCAGGTGATTGATTGCTAGAAGTGGGTAAAGAAATATATAATGGCAACCTCTGATCTGGTTCTACATGTTGAAATGAGCTGTCTCAAGTTATTTCCTTAAACATAATGGTCCTTTTTGCACTGTGTTTCTAGCTTGTGCTTGCACCAATGCAAAATGAATTCCTCTGATTTTAGTTACTACAAATTTGATCAACTATCCTTTTTTTCCTTGAAAACTGAAGTGTTCATCTAATACTATTGCATCATCTGGATTTTGGAGTAACGAGTTTTTTTTTGGGTTACTTTCTTTTCTTTATAATTACAGGAGGATTTCTATTCCTTGTTGGATTGGGCATTCAAATTTGATCCTTTGAGGTGCATTTCAATGCATGGTATTACAGAGCGCTACCTTTCTGGTCAGAAAGTTGACACAGCTGGGTTTGTCCGCCTACTACTTGATGACTTGGAAACAAGAATATCAATGAATTTTGGCAGGGTCAGTTCTTTCGATTTTCTTTTTCTTTTATTGCAATGTTTAATGAGGATTAACTTGTTTAACTTTCATTTCAAGTGCAGTTTGTTGATGACTGTATTTATATGATTGAGAAGACTGAACGCAATGCACGCCAATTGGGAGTTTTACCATACATCCCAAGGTTTAGTATTCTAATGTTTGAATCATTATATGTAATTGATCAAATATCTGATTTTTTTTTTAAGGTACCTGATTAGATCCTCTAGTTCTAAATTTTCACCTCTTAGAACAAAGTTTTTTTATTTTTTGTTTTATTTTATAGGCAAGTTTATATAGATCCTTCATGTTGAATTATGTTTTGTTCGGTAGATGATGCCAGGCTGTATTTTATGCTACCTGTAGGCTGAGAATCGTGGGGAGAATGTGATAAAATCTAAGTGTAAGGAGAGAAGAGGAGGTGGATCTGAGGGAGATATAAGTTTAGATAAAATCTTTATTATCCAAGAAAGAGGTTAAAAAATGGTGAAAATAAGAGCTCTGCATTATGGAGCCTGAGCCATGTTGGAAAGATAATACATTGTTTTGTGGATCTCTTTCTTCTATTGATTCCTTCAGAGGTTATAAATTCTTAACTTCCTTTCCCCTCCCTAAATCTTGGGCATATGTTTTTAGATTCCTTCCCTCTCCTTTTTTTTCCTCTTTCTCCCCCTTTTTATAAAGAGAGGAATGTAGGAGTTGTGTCCTGGCATGTAGCTAACCCATCAATTTGTTGTAATAACTTGTTGGTGTCGAGCTAGTCGTCAGTTGAAAAAGGAGAGTCAGATAGGGTCGAATGATAATCAGTAGTGGCCTTGCTGAGATACGAGGGGGAGAGTGTCATTCAACTGCTATCAATGAGGGATGGTAGGTCGATCTAGATCACCGTGTTGAGGTAAAAAGTGGCGAGTGACATCTGGGTGTGATATTTAGGCATATGTGAGAGGGAAATCTTTGAGAGGGGACATTATCGAGCTTGGGAGACTTATGTAACACCCCATTTTGACCCCCTATTGTCAATCTAGAGTGTAATAAAGGGAGAATCTCAACAGACCTATCTCTTTTTTACACCCATCTTGAAATACTTCTATCAGGACCAAGTGAGTAGGAAATAGTCAATTCAAACTCTTCCAAAAACAAAAGTTTTTCAAAACTTAAGATTAGAATCAATATTTCATAACTGGAAACATATTTAAACACATCAAAATATCAAATAAAATACAGAGCTTACTAAACTGCAAATAACATTTACATACTGAGAAGTGCTTTTACAGCTTCTACTCTGACCTCTATAGAACAACAATAACAACATCAGACCTTTATCCCACTATGTGTGGTCAGCTACATGAATCCTTTTTCTCAATTGTGTCCTATTAAAAGTCAAATTCTCATTTAAATCAAATACAGAAAGGTCATTTCTAATATTTTTTAATCAAGACTTTTTAGGTCTACCTTTATCATTCTTAAAATAACCCAAATCTAATAAATCTACTCTCTTGACATGGTCATCGGAAGGTCGTCGTTTTACATGACCAAACCATCTAAGGCGACTCTCTCTAATCTTATCTGTCACTGAAGCTACTCTAACCTATTCACGGATATGCTCATTTTGTATCCTATCTCTAAGAGTAAATCCACTCATTCACCTGAGCATCCTCATCTCAACAACACTTAACTTAATATTATGCTTCTCTTTTAAAGGCTAACATTTTGAGTCATAAAGCATTGCAGGTCTCACCACCATCTTATAAAAATTTCCCTTAAGTTTGAGTGGTACTTTTCTATCACACAACAAACCAAAGCACTCGTCCACTTTAGCCATCCAACTTGAATTCTACTAATAATATCCCCATCTATTTCACTATAACTTTGAACAATAGACCCAAGATATCTAAAACGAGTACACTTATTAATGATTTGGTCGCTCGAAGTTAAAAACCCTCCACTAGATCTATTGCTACTAAAATTACACTCCATGTATTTGGTTTTAGATCTTCTCAAAACTTTTAGACTCTAAGGTTGTCCTCCATAATTCAAGTTTACCTTCAACTCCCTCTCTAGTCTTATCAACAAGAAGAATATCATCAGCAAAAAACATACACCAGGGTACATCCTCTTGCAAATGTCTAGTAAGAACATTAATGACTAAAGCAAAAGATAAGGGTTTAAGGCTGATCCTTGATGTAAACCAATTGAAATAGGAAAATAATTGGTTAAACCACCTTGTGTTTGAACATAAGTAACAACTCCCACATACATATCCCTAATGACTTTAATATAAGAATTATTAACCCCTTTCTTTTTTAAAACTATTCAAAGCACTTCTCTTGGAACTTTATCATATGCTTTCTTTAAATTAATAAATATCATATGTAGATCCTCCTTATTCTTTCTAAACTTCTCCATCAGCCCTCTCAATAAATGAATAGCTTCCATACCATGCCTACCTGGCATGAATTCAAATTGATTTTGAGAAACTTTAGTATCACGTTGTAACCTATGCTCCATAACTCTCTCCCAAAGTTTTGAAGTATGACACACAACTTAATTCCTCCATAATTTGCACAATCTTATGCATCATCTTTATTCTTAAATATAGAAATTAACACACTCATTCTCCACTCATCTGACATCTTTTTAGTCTTTAAAATAATATTAAAAAATTTAGTAAGTCAAAAAGTTCCATCATCACCTAAGCATTTCCACACCTCTATTGGAATATCATCTGGTCTAATAGTTTTTCCTACTTAATTTTATTTAAAGCCTTTTTAACTTCAATTTTACTAATACACCGATAAAAATAAAATCTCTATTTTCATTTAGTGTTAATGTATGTACACAAAAGGGGCAGTCATCCTTCCTTCCAAATGCATTGCTGGCTCATTTCTCTTTTGATGCAGTACAATCATTGTAATGATCTAAAGTTTTATAAAATACACAAGAAATATATATAAAATAAGCATGTCTACAATCAATTGAAACAACACAACATGATAATCTATTTAAAGTATTATTTCCTATTCTATTTATTATTCAATATTTTTAGACAAGTCATATGATTGTTATAGGCTTTTGCACACTTACAACTCTCTAATTCAAGGTTGGGTCAGTATTCCCAACTTTTAGAATTGAGGCCACTCTCTAATTCAAAGTTTGGTCTAAATTTTAACTTTAAGAATTAAGATAGTGTAGGCTTACCTCATCAGATCTTTTATCTTTGCTTGTGCGAGCCTATACCTCATATATGACTTATCTCACATTTCTAATTCATTTCACATTTTATAATACATTTTACATTTTATAACAATCATAAAAATATGTCATTGCAATAATACTTGAGGAACCAACAGTATAATATACAACATTTTGTCTAATGTAAGCATGAATTTTCCCCAAAATCATTCTCTATTTTCATTGAATTCTAGTTATTATTTATCCATTTTATGTGCATAAGTATATCCATTCTAAATATATGTATACCTATTTATTTAAGCTACTACAGCTATTCAACATTTTATTTAATAGTTGCTACATCTACAGCTATTCAACAATTTGCACTCTTTCCTCGCTTGTCTCTTTGCATCAACTCGCTTGTCTCTTTGCATCACACACAGACAGAAAAGTCAAGGCCCCCAACTCCTCCGTCTTCTTCCGCTTGTTCGCCCGCACCCGACACCATTGAGCCCGACGACCCAGCCTCCGCCCGTTTTCGCCTCCCACGCCCGACCCACACCCGAAGCAGCCGTGTCCTCCGACGCTTGTTCAACTCCTTCATTGCTGCCCGGCTTCATTGCTTCGCATGAGGTGTAGGGATTGCAAGACGCTTCTTCCGCTCCTTGCTGTTTGGCTTCGTGATCGCACGAGTGGCTTCTTCGACTCTTTCTTAACTGTCCGACCTCCTTACTTCACAGAGGATCGCACGAGTCACTTCCTTAGCTTTATCGGGTAGAGAAATTGCACGGGTGGCCTTTTTGTCTCTCTATTGTTGTTCAACTTTATTGCTTTGCAGGAGATATAGAGATTTGATAAACCATTTCTTCGACTCTTCTGCTACTATCCGACTAAGCTCCTTCGAAGACTACCTGAACTAACCCGATCAGACTTATTCATCTCTCTTTATTTATATGTAATATGTATATACATATATATAATTATTTATAATTATAATATTAAAAAAAGAAATGAGAGAGTGATATGATAATAAAAAGGGGGTCTTTCAAATAGGTGTCAAAGACCCGTGCCATCAATCTTAGATCTGGGCGGATAATTTTAAAATTCGAAGATCTGCGCCGTTGATTTTTAATCCGGGCAGATGGTTTCAAATCTGAAGACACTGGGCCGTCATATCTTAGATCCGGCTAGGTTGGTTTTAAAATTCGAAGACCCTACGCCATCGACCTTAGGTCCGGGTAGGAAGAAATTACGGCAGTGCCGTCCCGATTTCTCCCTCAGTGGGGAGGAGACGTCGGTATGCTACCGAAATTTCCTAAAAAAATTATAGAACTTTTTGAAACAATTGGAGAGCAATTTAATTTGAATTTTAATTAATCAATTAATTAATGAATTAAAATTCATTAATTAAAATAAATTGAATTTAAATTTTATTGATTGGTTAATTTAAAAAAAAATCAAGAATAACTTTAAAATTCGAGAGCATTTCAAATCCGAGGGCTTTTAAAAAAATTGAGAGTTTTAAAATTAGAGAGCTTTAAAATTTAAATTTGATTAATTGGTTAATTGATTTATCAATCAATTGAGCAATTATAAAATAAAAATGCAATAAAAAAAGGAGGGAGGGGGAGGTTCCACTAATTGTCATATACAATATTGCATTTCAACTCTCCAAAACTCTCAAGCTCTCCAAATTTAAACAAATTCTCCAAACAACAACTCTCCCATTCACAAACCCTCACAAATTGTACAACTCCTCCAAAACAAAAGCTCTTAAACTCTCTAAATAGAACATCTCTCAAACTTTCCAACTTATAAGTACTTTGCTCTCCAAATCTTATACAAAACTCCCCACAGCAAATTGAAGCTCTTCTAAACAAAGATACTATGCAAGCATTCCAAGATCCCTCTTACTCGAGCTCTTGCAACTATCTGCGAACTCCCTGAACTGTTGCAAGTATCACATACCTTTGAACAAGTAAACACGAATCAGTGCATCATAAATAAATTAAATTAATGCTAGAAAATAATAAATCTAGTTACTGTAGGTTGAACAAAGTACTGAAAAGCAAGAAAAAATAAGTACGAAAAAGCTAGTAGAGTAACCGTACTGAAAAAATAGGTAAAGTTGTGGACTATTGTAATAGAAAAATATTACGAGTACAAAACAACTAAAACTCCAATGCCAGTGTCAAAACTTCGAAGTATCAAAATCACAAATTCAAACCAACTCAAATAAGTACAGAATAAATCTCTAAACATTGTACAAGCAACTACTATCTATACAAACACATAATCAAACTCAAAACATCTGGGCAGCCTTATTTATAAGAACTTGATTGTAAGACCTAGTATTCGACAAATTTCAAAGGAAAGTAGCAAGTCTGACCTTAGGAGAAAGTTTTAGATAAAAATTGACCTAACCCCTAATCCTTTGCATGGGTTCTAACAAATATAAAGAGCTTGCGTTCAAGCACTCTTTTCACTTCATGTGTAATACTTTGGAGCTCATATGGGCCTCGACGAGCATGTTATTGGTACACATGTGACGCCTATGGATGTTGCGTGGGTTCATAAATGAATGTAGTTTGAGCTCGATCCTCCTATATGGATAGATAGGAGTTGACACGACTCGAGTTATTAAACATATATACGGTCAGGGTGTCGATCGGAAGATCTATTTTATACGTTCATATAAAGCCTTCAAGGTCTCCAATAAAAAATTTTATTAACAAAACCATAAAGACTATGGACTCGATGCTCTGTCGATAAGTTGACGGAGTAGGCAAGGTTCAACGGACAAAATGCAATGTAAACACTCCGATGATGGCCGTGTTGAATGTTTATCTGAACCGGAGGGGTTAACTCCAAATATTTCAAATGCCACACAAATGTCAAAAACTCCAAAAATTTCAAAAAAAATTCCAAAATAAAAAAGTATTTAAAATTGAAATAAACCCTTCTAATCACTTAAAGCAAAATTCATCTACCCTCCGCAACAGTTTGTCAGGGTAGACAAATTAAAATTTACTTAAGCTCACATAAAGCTAATACCTAGTTGAAAATATCACTAGGATCCATTCTCAAATAATCTCCTATTAGTAAGGACGTGGTACGTGACCGACGATTTTGCTGCCAAATGGCATCGCAGGATAAACAGTTATGACCTGGGATCCTCTAAACCTAGTGGTTTTGCCGCCAAATGGCATCACAAGATAACAGTTATGGTCATAATCAATACGTTTTTAATGACATCAAATTCTTAAGATATGAATCAATAAGATATAATTGATAGGGCACAAAGCCCTCTGTTAGCTAAGGTGGATTCAGATTTATCCCCTTAGACAAACATTCATCCCAGGTCTATAAGGTACCCTTGGACAAAGCAACCCATGGATGCCGACAAGGATCCTTCTATCAGGTTATGTCGACTATCTCCTTTGACTAAGTAGACTAGGGACCACGATGACCCGGTACGACGGATCCATGCGATCTTGATCGGGTCCATCATCCATTCCCACACCATCCGCTTTAAGTGCTAGGTGATGAAATTTCTATTTTAAATATCAAACTTTCAACATCTCAAACCCATGCTGCTACTATATGCCAGATAACACGTATCTGATTGACGACTAACCTTAATCGAAAGTTCTCTCTCGTTATCGGGAGGGGTAATTAACTATAGGGGCTTGCATTTATAGGAAACTATAACTCAGATCATAAAGTCCTCGCAAAAATGAGGTCGAAATCTCTTGGTCGTGTCTTATCTACAAATTCATCCGTCTTTGCAAAATTTACCCCAGAACATAATCGGTTAAAACTCCCCCAAAAAACCAACGGGGGAGGTTGGGGCCTAATTTTCGGAGCCTACAATGATGAAAAGTTTCATTCATACAAAAGAAACAAGTATGCTCATATGTTTTGATGTGATCCAATTTTTCCTATGCCCCAGTTCCCCGAGCATAGGGCGAAAGATTAGCAAATAGATAAATGATTTGTGCTTAATTGTGTATCGAGGTAGGCAAACTTGTATGAAATTATTTTCAAGATCAAGACTGTGATTTCCCTTAGCCACTCGATAAAGGATAAAGAGGGATATTTCCCAGAAAGATAACTTTCCTTCTCGCTAGGGGCTTTAGCGCTCGCGCAGGACTTGAGTGCTTGGGGCCCTCGACTAGCCCTAGGGAGTAGTCCAATCTTATCTTTTCAGCTTAGATCCGAAGGGGGATTGGACGATCCCGCACTGCTTGGGCAATCATCTAGTTATCATGAAATCAGGAGGGCTAAGGTCCGATAAGTCTTGGAACAAGTTCGGTAGTCCTGAAGTCAAAGGACTAAAATTTGGCAAGTTTGGGATGAGTGGTGAACTCAGTTGTTTTAGTAGTCAAGGGACTAAAATTCGGTGAGTTTGGAATAAGGGGTGAACTTGATTGTTTTAGTAATCAAGGGACTAAAATTCAATGAGTTTGGAATAAGGGCGAACTTGATTGTTTTAGCAATTAAGGGGATAAATTTTGGTGAGTTCGAAATAAGGGGCAAACTCAATTGGAGGTGTTCTTCTCTAGTATTTGAAGACATGATCTATCATTGGTCGCTTGACGGAGGATAAAGAGGGGATCTTGTTAGAAAGATGACTTTCCTTCACACCAAGGGGCTTTGGCGCTCACAAGTTTTGATTGTCTAGGAGCCTCGGCTCGTCTCAGGGAGTAGTCCAATCTTTTGTATCAGCTCGGACCCGGAGGAGGATTGGACGATCCCGCATTGCTCAGGCGATCAACTGGTTATACGAGGTCAGACGACCAGGCTAGGACATTTCACTTAGAGAGAAGATTTCTTGATAAGTTCTCATTGTAAGGATCTAAGGTTTGGACTCGGCATTCTAAGTTACCCAAGCGTTTTGAAAGAAGAGTTTTATTCAGTCAGGTGCCTTTAATTATATTATGCTTTGATGTGGAATGTTTTTATTTTGAATAGATAAATAGTTTTATCAGATAAAAAATGAGAATAATGTGTATATATGGATAGATACGTCCCTTACGGGTAAAATAACTTGAGATAGTCAACACTCTAGGTCCTGGGCATATTTGTTCTATTGTCAATCTGTAGTTGATAGGCTTCTGGACTAGCTTGTCTTTTATAGGACCGAGTCTCCCGGTCAGAAGATTTTCTTTTTAATGCGAAGATAGTAGTACTTGGTGGTTCTTCGCTTGTTCTCTTCTTATTGGAGGTCGTCTTGCTCCTTGAGCTCTTCCAGTAGGTTGGCGACGGTCTACAAGCCTTATTGATTGGATATGCCCCATTTGGTGGTCATATCGTTGGTCATGGCTAGTACCCTTTGGCTTGGTAATTCTAACTCTATCGGAAGTACAAACTTTGTATCGTGCTAGAGTGAGAAGATGTGATGAACTTGACATAGCTCACTCTGGTTGGTTCGCAAACCAATCCTAAATTATCAAACTAGCAAGAATAACTCAAATTTGTGCACAAACAAAAGAGTTAATTTCTTTTTCATTCAATTCATCAACTATTTATAATGCAAGAGATCAGTTTTAAAAATCAACATGCAAGAATAAAACTTAAATTGCATTAATTTCGATCATGAATGAAGCTTTGAATGATTTGTAACTTCTACATTTTCAGTTCTTTTATCGTTCCAATTGAATGCTTGAATTGTAACATCTCATCTTGAATTTTAAAATACTTATTGAATGCTAACAAATTGGCAGTTTGATGATGCTTGTAATGATATTGTAACCCTTAAATTTATTACTCATGAAATGTTAACTTTCTAAAATGAATTATTTGCAACCCCCTTCATTTAATAGATTAAACATCTCCTGAAACGTATTCAATTAATTGGCTTCCTGAATGCTCCAAGTTTCTATTGAATGAATTAGCTTATATAATCAATGAAGTACATGCATTAATTACATTGTCACATAATTAATGAATATAATTGGCCTATTTGGAAATTCATTCAATTGTCCTACTTGAAGATCATCTATGGAAGAAGAACTAAGTTGGTAATAGTGTATGTTATCTTAGAACTCCATGGAATTTGAACAGTCTGTGAAGTCAAATTGCTTCATGGAAAGAAAAATTCGATTCTTTGGATGTTGCAAGCTCAGTACTCAAGCTGTTGTATTTTTTTTAATAACCATTGAGGCTAGTAAATGACTCAGAAGCCTTGCCAATGAAGTAGGGATGACTTAGAACTGTTTGAATTAATTATGCTGGTCTTGGCAGGACATGAATTCGTGCTGGTTGTTTTTTAAGCTGCTTGAGTGTTTACTTTGCAATTTTTTTTTCCATATTGAATAAACCAATAAATATTGTTTTTGGCTGTAATAGCTGTTGAGTAGCCATGTTAAGTGGTTAATAAAGAAAGTTCCTGCTTCATAAACTAACCTGAAGTTAATTAATATGAATCTAGATATTAGGAAGCCAACATAAAATACGGAACAATTGTGCCAACAATGAAATTTTAGGCTGCTAAGGTGTTTTATTTCTTATTTCAGAAAACAGAGTTTAAGTTTATTATACTTTTCTACGATTTATTTTATTTTGTGCTTTGCTGCTTTGTCATTAGTATTGTTGCTTTAGATGGATCAACTTACATTTTTTAACAGGTATCCAATTATTTCTTTTGATTAATATGCATGTTAATGTGAAACTTATTTTGATTGTATAGATTTGCTTTTCTTGCTACACGCATGGAGCAATACATCCAGGGTCAATCTAGGGATTTAGTTGACCAGACATATACCAAAATCGTAAGCAGCATTTATAATCATTAACTACTATTGAGTATGAACTCCATTATTGCAAACACATTACTCTACTTTGTTCATATAAGAACATTATGCAAATAGGAAATTTAAATAAGAATTATCCTCTAAATTTGCCGGACAAATCAGCTAGAATTATCTTCTTTACAGTATAGTAACACTATTTCGTGTCCTAAGTTTTGTACTGCTTGTAAATTTAGGGGGTTTTTTTTAATTGTTACAGGTCAGCATAATGTTTGTGTGCTTGGAGAGAACTGCACAAATGGAACCAAAGTATTCTGACATTGTACTTCTAGAGAACTATGCTGCTTTTCAGAACAGGTAATAGAGGTTCTGTTGTACTGAATCTCTTGTCCTTGACTAGAGTTATGCCTATAGGTCATGGGGCTCATGTCTATGTTTCATCTCCTATAGTTTCCATTCAGCAAATTTTTAAAAAGGAGCATACAAAAAATCTAAATTATAATGAGCTGCGTTTAAAAAAAAATTAAATAGAAGCAAAGTCACTAAACTGAATGTTGCAGTATACATTTGTGAAGAAATCGTCAAAATATTTGGCTATTTCTGCACAAAACCAAAGCGTTCACCAAAAGATTTGGCGTCTTCCGCTTTGCTGCACGGGAAAGAGAGGCGGGAAGAGAGAGAGATAGGGTGAGAGAGATGGTAATAAAAAATTTATTTAATTTTAATATAAATATAATTTAAATATAAGTAAAATTATAATATAATTTATAATTTATAATTAACTTAATTTATTAACATCATGAATATTATAAAATTTAATTAACTTTATTTTTATTAATTTTTTAATTAAAATTTGTATTTCATTTATCTTAAAATAAATATAATAGTTATGAAATTCATCCGTTAAAAAAAATAATATTATTTATGTGCATAATAGTTTAGTATAACCATATTTATATTTAAATTATATTTATATTAAAATTAATTAAAATTTATATTACCTTCACTCTCCCCCCTCTCTCTCTCCCCTCTCCCCCGTGCAGCTGAGCGAACGACGCCAAATCTTTTTGTAAACTTTTTAGTTTTGTGCAAAAATAGCTAAATCTTTTGGTGTTTTCTTCACAAATGTAAATTGCGTCATTTAGTTTAGCGATTTCGCTCCTATTTATTTATTTATTTTTAACGATGCTTCTTATTATTTTGATTTTTCATATGCTTCTTTTAAAAAAATTGCTTTTTTATTCATTGTTTTATCGATTTATTTTCGTAATGTTTTAGTATTTTTTAATTGAATTAATATTTTTTGATGAGTAGTATTTACCTTGTTGTAGTCTCTATGATTTAGCCAATGTGGTGCCATCGCTAGCAAAATTTTATCGCCAAGCCAGTGAATCTTATGATCAAGCTTGTACACGTCACATCAACATGATTATTTTTATCGTATGTATAGTTTCCTTGGCTCGACCTCCTGTATATTTCTCATTGATAATATTTATCCGCTTTTTTCTTGGATGTTACCAGCAGTAGTTTCCTTTGCTTTTTTACTTGTAAACTTTCGACCTGGCCATTATTAAATCTTTATTTGTAGACATTTGAGAGATTGTTTATCTTCGCTCGAAGGATGGAGGAATTGATGGTTACAATAACTCCCCAAGAAGTGAGTAACTTTTGAAGTCCTTACAACTGGAAACTTTAACTGATGTAGACAACATTGAGATCATATTTTTTCAGCCTAAATGTGATGACATTTATCCAATCAGGAATTAAGATTGACATTACAATCTAGGATCATCACTGTCTAATGAATTTAGGCAGTATTAAGGCCTTATGCATATTTTAAGTACATTTCTTCCGATAATTGTGTGAAAAAGATATATTATATTGTCATTATTAATTTGAGTAGTTTTAATCAAGTGTGGCTTCTGTAAAATATGATGTCATTCTAATTTCTGCAGCTGAAAACAAATGTTTTGTGTAGCAAGGTAAAAAGTTGTTGGTATTGTTGGATGCTATCTTAATTTATTAATAGAAAAAAAAATTGAGAGGAAGGTAATAAGAAAAGAAAAGTTACTTTCACATTGAAGTGTAGCTATTTATGTGGTGCTGATAATATGCTTTGTAATACACAGATACAGTTTCAGGTTGGGATGTCAAAAGCAGACCTTCGAAAAATGCTTAAATCCAGCTTATCTGGGGTAAAACGGACAATCTTGATCTTTAGCTTTTCATATTTGTTCTTTTTTCTCCCTTTTTTATGTTAACATTCTTCATTCTTGTCGGCAGCTTGACAAGACAATTAATGCTATGTATAAGAAGTTACAGAAGAATTTGACTTCAGAAGAGTTGTTGCCTTCTTTATGGGAAAAATGCAAGGTTTGTTTCCTTTCAAGATATAAGACAAAATTCTATTTTTTTATGATATATCTATGATGGCATTCTTTTTCTCCAACATATATGATTATCATTTGTTAAAGGATTAAAAATAAGAAGATTTGTTATAAAAATTGGTTTAATTTTAAAAACTTTGATAATTGGGAAATATATAAAGAGGCTCATAAGGAATCTAAGAAAGTTATATGCGATGCAAAGACTTTAGCTTTTAGTGATTTATATAATAAAGTAGATATTATAGAGGGAGAAAGATATATGTATAAGTTAGCCAAACAAAGAAATAGGAGTAGTAAGGATTTAATTCAAGTGAAGTGTATTAAGGATGAAGATCAAAAAATACTTTTCTTAGAAAATGATATTCAACAAAGGTGGATGAGATATTTTGCTAAACTTTTTAATGAAGATTGTGATAATAAAATTGGCTGTCGTGGCCTTAGCACTCTAAATAAAAATAAAGATTTCTGTTTTTATCGGCGTATTAGTAAAACCGAAGTTAGAGAGGCTTTAAAAGCGGGTATTTTAACAAGATTAGGTTCCGGGGGAATTTTCAGAAGGCAGATTGAGTTTTAGATAAGACACTACCCAGAGATTTCACCCTCATTTTGTGAGGACTTTTTGATCTGAGTTCTGGTTTCCTATAGGCGCAAGCCCCTATAGTTAATTACCCCTCCTAATAACAGAAGAGAACTTTCGATTAAGGCTAGTCGTTAAGGATGTCGTATAGGTTATGAACCTATCGTATAATAGCAATAATTTTAGGGTTTAAATTTGATCTTATTGATTTGGATTTTGAAATTTGGAATTTAGAAATTATCACCAGAAACTTAAAAAAAGCTTGTGGTAGGGGGAATGAAGACGAGCCCGATCAAGATCCCATGGTTCCGTCGTCCCGGTCTGTCATGATCCTTGGTCTACTTAGTCAGAGGAGGTAGTCGACCCAACATGACAGAAGGCATCTTATCGGCAGCCATGGGTTGCTTCGTCCAAGAATACCTTGTAGACTTGGGTTGATATTTGTCTAAGGGGATAAATCTGAATCCACCTTAGCTGACAAAGGGCTTTATGCCCATCGAATATACCCTATGATTCATAACTCAAGGGTTTAACGCCTTTAGGGAACATTCGGGCTTTGGCCGTGATCGTAATATAATGGTGCCATTTTGCGGCAAAACCACCCGATCAGAGGGCACGTGCCATGTCTCTGTTGGCAAGATTGTTTGAGGATGAATCAAAGTGATACACCGATACACATTCGCTCTTTATGAGCTGAGGTTAACTTCAAATTTATCACCCCCGACAAACGGTTGCGGGAGGTGTATGATTTTTAGTTTTGAGTTTTTAAGTGATAGATTTCATTTCAAGAATTTTGGGCTTTTTTTTTATTTGAGATTTGACTCCTCCGGTTGAGATTTTCTGTCAACACGGCCATCATCGTGGTAGCTTTAAAGTCATTTGTATTTTCGTAGGATTTTGGGAGGCATTTTATACTTCAAGTCGTGTCGACTCCAGTCCTTTCGAGGATGATGAAACTTGAATATTTGACCCGCGCAGCATTCTTGAAACGTTAGATTTAGGACTTAGATGTGACGATTGGAGCACATGCGGGTTATAACATTTGACCCTGCGCAACATTCTCGAACTTTAGCATTTAGAAATTTATTGCATTTATTGGAGCACATGTAGGGGTTTATTTTGTTTAAAAGATCATATTTAATATAAAAGGAGCATTTTAAAATATTTAAATATGATCCTTTATGTGAGAGATTTTATTTAAGAAATGCCTAAATTTTCATTTAAGGGCCTAAGAACGCCTTATGTCTGCTTATAGACATGTTGCGGATCCGGTGGCATTACTATCGATGAATTTTGCTTCATAAAAGATATATTTTGTCATTTCAAATAATTTTATCTTCTTTATTGTCATTTGACACAATTTCTAGATGAGATTTGCTCAACAGATGCTAGGAGATTTGTGTTCTTACTTGTGAGCAGGCTACATCATTAGTCATGAATTTCTTAGTGCTACCTGCATGCTAATTATGTGCACTATCAATCCCTTACTCCTACTTATAAGTTAATGGTAACACAAATTAGAAGTTCCCCGCTTTTATTCTAAGACATGGTAATTTATTTTGTATGAGCTTCTCGTTTATACCTGTAGCATAATCATAGAGCACATTACAAATTCTCTGGCTTCCATTTATAGGTAAATTTTAATGCGTCTTATTCAGTTCTACAAAGATCTTGTCGATCTCCAAATAGCGAAAGTTTTCCAAAGAACTTTGTTAATTGAAAGGTTAATCATCTTTTGACAACTTTGGTTATATATGGAGGGATCTCAATATCATAAACTAAAGAAGATGCTCAAGAAGTCTGATTCGAACATTGAATTATGAACTTAACCCTTATTTTATTAGTTTAGCCCAATACAATGTATGTTGGATTTAATAACATAATTGTATTTAACATATACCAAATGATTAGTTGATGTTGTATTAGATTAATTAATTGAATATTTTCAATTCTTCAAAAATTTCAATTAAGTCTAAAATTTTTCTAAGTCTAGAATTTTTTTTAGAAAATTTCGGCAGCCTCCCGGCGTCCCCTCCCTGATGCCGAGAGGTCAGAGAGTGCTCGACTCGGCCGGATCAAATCGACGGTGAGGAGATTTGGTCTTCAGAAGCTTTGATGATCGCCAGTTGTAGATGTTTGGTTGTCAATGATTTGCTGCCGATGATTGGATGCAGATTATAGTTGATTGTCGATGCTCACTTGGAAATCCCTTTTTTTATTTTAATTTATCAAATAATTAATATTATAATTATTTTTAAAATTAAAATGAGCAATTGAACATTTTCCAATCATTTCAAAATTTTGGCTAAGTTCCAAAATTTAGAGAAATTTCGGCAGCCTCCCGGCGTCCCCTCCCCGATGCCGGGAGGTAAGGGAGTGCTCGACTCGACCGGATCAAATCGACGGCGAGGAGATTTGGGAGAGCGAATCGATCCCAATAATGATCTTCGAGAGGTCCTTTAATGTGCACAACCTGCTAAGTTAAGAAATTAAATATTTTTGGTCCCCTTAAAAATCCGGCAGCCTTCTGGCGCCCCCTCCCCAATGCCGGGAGGTTGGGGTGGGCATTTGCCCTTTGGCTCGACTCGGCCGGAGCGAATCAACGGCGAGGAGATTAGGGGAGTAGAGTCTGCGCTCTCTCGGTCGAATAATCTTGACGACCGAGGGCTTCAGGGGACATAATATATGATATATATTATATGCTATATATTATTATATAATATACATATTAATATATATGATATAATATATCATATATAATATAATACTATATATATATATACATATAATATATGATATATAATAATATACATATTATATAATATATTATATAATATATATCTTATATAATTTAGAAACATAGAGAGGGATCGGGAGAATCCCGATCATGCTAGGGCCGAAGGAGCCACGCACGGAGGGGCTCGGATTGGCGTCGGCGTACACGTCGTCGGCGGAGGAAGGTCGGCCGGAGGCAGGTCGGCGGCAGGTTTGTCCGGAGCAGGTGCAGATCGGGCCGGCTAGGTCGAATGCAGACGCAGGCGTCGGGTTTGGTCGCTAGTTGAGGCGGAAGCTGTGCTCGGTGGCTGAAATCCGGTGGGTGCAAGCGACTGAAGTTGGCCGGCGAGGCTGAACTCGGCTTGCTCGACGGAGGTTGGAGGGTCTTTGACTGAAGCCGAGATTGAGATCGAGAGAGTTGTCGCACGGAGGAGGTAAGTCCCGAAATCCTTCTCAATTCCGTTGTTCTGTTCCTCTATGCGATTCTGAGAGCGTGAGTGCCAAAAATGAGGCCGAACCCTTTTGTGTCATAAGGAGCGACGATTTTGGACGTGGTTTGAGATCGTGGGATCGATCGTGGCTGAGGTGGAATGAGTGGTTGAGTATCGTGGGTAGTTTGGGGGCTTCAGTCGGTTAGGCACTTGGGGCCGGTTTTGGGTAATTACAGGTCAACACAATGCTTAGAGAGTTGTTGATGGGCCGCTGTTGTAGCTTCTAGGTTTATATGTGAGGGTTGCGATCGGGCCGTGAGTTCACTTAAATCAAAATTTTCTGTGAAGTTGATATTGGTTTGCTGCATCGTCCTTTGCAAGCTCGATGGTCACCAGTTCGTTGACCATCCATCCTCAGCTCAAGTTGGGTCCTCAAGGTCCTATGTATAAACCTCGTAAGCCTCATAATAGATAGGCAATATGTTGCAGTAATCATCTAATGTTTCTAATTTTAGTTTTCCTAATTTCTTTTTTTTGGTCTTGCACAACTGCATGTCCTTTGACGTTGCAGAAGGACTTTCTGGACAAGTATGGAAGCTTTGTCAAGCTAGTCAACCAGATATATCCAGGAGAGAATGTCCCTCCAGTGTCAGAGATGAGAGAGCTTCTTGCTCAAATGTAAATTAAAAAAGAAAAAGAAAAAGAATTGTGGACTTTTTTGTTCCTTGGTGGCTGCTGTTCGATTACTTTTCTTGTTGTTTTATTGTCTACATATCAGCCCCACCCTTTTCTTTTACCTCATGAAACTATAATAATAATGATATATTAGGCTAAAATTTTTTATCGTAGTTGCATGCGATTTCTTCTTTGTGAGCAGATAAATAAGAAAATGTTTTTTTTAACCGTAAAAGGTGTTGTTGCTTTACTGGATGTTAACAAGAAAACAATGCTATCGGGCCTTCTGCCCTCATTACTTCCAAAAACATTAAGGGGCTGTTTTGTTGTCCGTAAAGTAAACGTAATGTAAAATAAATAAAGTGTAAAGTAAATGTAGTGCATTTCAAATACTCTGAGGCTGTTTGGTTGTTTGCAAAGTAAACGCAGGAGAAATGTTTCCCTTGTTTAGTTAGATAAAAATAGTGCATTTGTAATATTTTTTTGTCATTATAATTTATATATTTATAAAAGTAATCATCGATTATTTAAACTTCGTTTGGGATAGCTTTCTTCTTGCTTTCTAAAATTGATTTTCAGTAAAAAATTAACAAAAAAATCATTGTAAAAAACAATATGAAAGCTGTTCCAAATGAAGCCTTCCAACTCTCAAAACGGAGCAAAGTGAGCTGTGGCGTGGATTAACCAAATACATTGTGTAGATGTGATATTGTTAGGGAATGATGAATCAAATACAAAGAGAAATAGTAAATCAAAATTTGTTAGGCATTAATTTCATGAGCTCTCCTCTCACAAAAATCCAAATTGAGATTGTCAGCTTGGGAAATAAAGCTACTGTTTCGCATGTAAAATGAAAAATTTGCACGTCCAAAAGGACAAACATGAGGAAGAAGCATCTCTCCCGACAAAAAAGAGAACAATATTGAAGGTGCAATGCAATTCATTTTACATGAGGGTAACAATCACAAGAATGATATAGGAGTTGAAGACATTAAAAAAAAAATGAAAAAGAAACTAAAAAGTGATTGAAGTAAAGTTCACCATGAAGAAAGTGATTCAAGCACAAAAAGAACTCCAATTGGTGTACGGAAGGCAGCTGCAATACCAGCTCCCGCTCCACAGGTCACCATATCTCGCCTGTACCTGTCATTCGTTACACACCTAAGCCACCGGCATGTCGACCGGTATTCGCAAGATCTTCCCTGCCCCAGCAAAGAAGCAATGCATGCTGATACTGTAGAGATGCAACCAACTATCATGGAGCGACGATGATACTGTAGAGATGCAACCAACTATCTGCATTGAAAGATATCCACTCTTACAGTTACAAGATAAAAAAATTCAAAATATCAAAGTCTATCTCCTTTTCTGTTTGATTAATTTGCTTGTCTGATTAAACAAAGAAAAAATAATGGAAATAATGGTAAAAAAATTCATCAAATCAGGTTGGACAATTAGAATGTCAAAGTAGAAGTGGATCATTGAAAAAAAAAGGAAGTAAATTGACCATTTGGAGGGGCCTACAACATTCTTTTATCCTACAAAAGAAGCGTTGGTTCGTTAACTTCTATTTAATATCAAAGACAGCAGTTAAATAATAATTTATAAAGGCCATGAAAGTCCAATTTTGATGAACCAAGATGATGCTAGTCTTTGACAGTCCAAATAAAATATAATAAAAAAATCATAATAAACATTGATCTTTGACAGTCCATATTTGACAACGAAGTCTGCTTTTCATCCTCGATGAAGAATCCACATAAGGCTCTACAAGATGGAACAGATCAGTTTGGCGCATTATAAAGACAGAAGGAGACAACTCGGGATAAGCGGAGCGGACGAAGTAGGTGGCAGGCGGAGAGGGAAGAGTACTCAAAGTCGAGGCTTTCGATGGGGCAGACGCGTGAGCCGACGAGGGCGAGCTGGGAGGTTGATTTGGAGATAGTGCGGTTGTGTTTAACGAGCAGGGGATCCGCTTCATCGACGGTGGCATTGATCGCCATCATCAAGGATAACAGAGGATCAGAAACTATCTCCGACGATACTTCTTATCTGCTACATAGTGGATGTAGTGGGCTGGTATGAGTACTGAACAGGGGAGCTCGCCGAGATTCGGGCATTACTCGGTGCCGAACGCTGAAATTGCAGCCGGATCCTCCGCCGCCGTCTCGAAGAAATTGCCATCTACGACAACTGTGCCAACATATTGCAGAACTGATCTGCAACAGAATCCACGCATAAAAAAAAAAAGCTTTACTAATTAGGTGAGGACATCTGGCATTTCAATAGATTGCCACATAAACTTCTAACGAGTATTGTAACCTTAATTTGATAATCTATGCGTGGATTTTGTTGTCATTCAAAATAAAATCAAAATTATTCTTCTACATATAAACAATGTTGTCCAATGAATATAAAAATATAAAAATATAAAAATGGGTGTTTTGCGATCAGAGCTGTTATTCCTTTTAACTTCCATTTCAAATTTGTCAAATGTGTAAGCTTGACCGAGGCTCTTGTGAGCGCCAATGATGTATTGGATTGTCATATGATGACAGTCAAAATATTGAGCTAGCAATGATGCGACACTCACGCAGCTTGAATGCTCATTAGTAAAATGTTTTACTGAAATTGAACAAAATGGTAAAACCCAATCGTTGCTTCATGGCTATAGTGACTCGTACAATATATTTTCTAGGGTTTAGGGTTTTTTTTTTTGTCGTGATCTATAGTGAAATTGCCCTTTGTATTTTTTTTTGTTTTTGTTTTTTTTTTTATACATTTGATTTGTGATGTATTGGGGAACAAGATAATTTATGATTAATAATAATGATCATAAGCCAAGGAAAAAAAAAATGCCATGTGATTATTAGGATCATTTGAGACCACTAATGCTAAAATAGTAGATAATTTCATTGATAGTTTGCTAAACTCTTAGTAAGTCATGACGAGCGCTTGCCTAATTACTGGGTGAATCTAGAGAACTAACAAGGTATTTTGTTAGCCTAAGCAAGATTCCTAGCCTTAATACGGTGAGGGACACAAAAGCATATCTTGACCACGATTTTTGCTCCTCAATTCAACCTGATCGAATGCAATGTAAATGACGGGCAATTAATTCGATTAAACATAATGAAAATGATAGCAAAAAATGTGATGTTGAATAAGTCTAACTTTAAATGCATTGCAAATATCAGAAGTATTCAAACATAGCTCATTTTGTGAATTAAGTTGCGCCGATAATAAGCCATATAGTGATAAGCAAGCAGTCGGCACACTCACCATCATCACATTTCCACTTTCTCTAAACACAGCATTAGATTCTCTGTAGACTTCATCCAAGCCACTTCCTGCTAATCGTTTGAGGATCCTCACCATCCATCAAGTTGGTTTCAATCATGACTCAAATTGATATGACCCAACTGGATCACATAGGTCATACCGTGCTTGATCATGGCTAGAAGCAGAGATTAATCTCAAGATTTAGTTGGAGAAATGTTGTGAAACTGAAACATCTAGATCATGTATATGACAAAGCCACTACTTAATATAAATGCAAAGCAGAAGACTACAAAATCTCATTAATAATTTTTATATATTATAAATACAATCTGAAATTTGTCTATAACAACGCTTGACAATAGAAAGGTATAACAAAAATAAAATCAAGCATGCAAAAAGAAAATTAATCAAAAGTGCATACCTACAATAGATTAGATCAAAATATTAGAAACTACTCAACTCGCTCCTTACCCTTTCTTAACTTGAAAATGAAAGCAAAGACAAGATTGTGCTAACACGGCCTGATAGACTATATGACAACCTAAACATGATTCAATAATTTAAACAAAAAGAGATGAAAAATATAAAATAATAAAATGAAGTACTGTACGAAATATTGAAGTTGAAGCAAAAATTGATAATAAATTGAAATAAGCAGTTAACTTACATCTAAAATTGTATTGAAACTTATTGAAATATAAGCAAACACCTCATACCAATTTCATAATGGCCCCTCAAGTCTTTTCCAATATATAACAAATAACAAAATCCATTCTCACATCCAATATAATAGTTTCTCGTCGCTAACAGAGTCTCTTCTAGCCACCAACAGAATCCCTTCTCACATTCAACAAAATCCCTTCTTAGTAAATATCAGAATAGCCCGCTGGCTCCAAAACTTCCAACACATAACAAATAACATAATCTCTTTTTGCCACCAACAAAATTCCTTCTTTTCGCATAATTCAAATATTTCAAACAAAGATATTGAAAATAAAATCACCCCAACAATTATAGTGCTACTGTTTACTTCTACAAAATCACACCAACAATTATCATAATAAATTTTCACCGAGTGTTCTACAATTCGTCAAAATTATAGTTTTCATAATTTTACCATATTACTAAATATTGTATATAACAGCATTTTGAAGCTTTAACTAAACTAAAATGCTATTTTTAGATGTCAAATAAAATTTTGAATTAATAAAAAACGTTATTTTTCAAAATCACCTTGCAAAAAAAAAAATTCACATAAATACTCAAAATAACTAGAATAATCGTACTGACAACATATCAAAAGATACGCAGATAAAATTTATCAAAATTCAAGAAAATTGTATTTTTGTAAAAATCAAATTATAATTTCGATTAGAAAAAAAAAACATTGAATTATTGAAAACTGAGATATGCAAAATATAACCTATCTCGACTCGAGAAATTTTTTGAATTAGGTCGCAGCTAAAAATGAATAGAAGCTACAATAAATAGTCTCTTTATCTAGAATATCCTCTCTCTCTCTCTCTCTCTCTATATATATATATATATATCTCTCTCTCTCTCTCTCTCTCTCTCACACACACACACACACACACACACTAGCAATGGTTATCTCAATGGATCAAATGAATGGAATAGTGGATTTGGATATTTTTATTATTAAAATATTGTCTAATGCTGCCGTGCCCATCACGACTCTACTTTAGAAAGCTTACAACATGATCCCTAGCACCACCACGTTGAATTAATTCTAAAATTCTAGAGAGCTTAACACCAAGGTGCCCCAACCCCAATGCTGCGGTGCTCCCATGGGAAAATTTATAGATTTCCAAACATTTAAACTAATCCTTTGGACCCAGAATAGCATATCACATGCACACATAATACTTAT